GCAAGAAATAAATAGGCCAGGAGCTAAAAACCGATTTAACGAGCAATACTCTTCCTGCTAGCGAAAGGGATATTGCTTTTCATCCAGCCAATTTCTCATAAAACCTTTGGATTATGGGATCCCATAATGAAATTGAGTTCTTCTTAACACTAAGGGGGAGGCCAAGATACTATGATGAAAAAACACCACCCGAGCAACCAACAGAAGCGACCCACTCATTTAGCACATCATCTTCAAAATTTATTCCAAAAATTCTACTCTTGGACATGTTCAATTGGAGCCCAGACATAAATTCAAATATGAGCAAAACTCTTTTAACATTCTTCAATTGCCTAAAGGAAGCTTTGCAGAAAATTATCAAGTCATCAGGAAATTGCAAGTGTGAAAGTATGAATGAATTCCCAGCTTTACCTATCTTGAAGCTGTTAAAAAACCCTAGACTGATCACCTTGGAGAGCAGCAAATTCAGTAGCTCCCCTACCAAGTTAAATAACAGAGGAGATAAAGAGCAACCTTGTCAAAGCCCTCTCGCAATCTGGAAATCCTTCGTGGGTCACTCGTTCATTAAAATAAAGATAGATGCAGAGGAAATGCATTTGGATATCCAAGAACACAATCTCTTCCCAAAACCCATGTTTGCCATTATTTTAAGCAGAATCAACCAACTAACTGAGCCGTATGCACTCTTAAAATCCACTTTGAAGGCAACTCATTTGAGTCCTTTCTTCCTCCAGTAATAAATTCCTTCATTTGTAATAAAGGATCAATCCATAATCTATTTCCCTAGGATAAAAGCGAATTGGGAGGGGCCAACTATGAAGTCGATGCATATTTTCAAACTTCTATCGAGAACCTTAGATAGAATTTTATATAAAGCTCCTACTAGGCTAAGAGGCCTGTAATTCTCCAAGCATTCTAGATTAGCTTTCTTTGGTATAAGGGTGATAATGGAATGATTAACCCCATTTTCCTAACTCTTCCCCAAAAAGAAATCCTTGAAGAACCTCATAATATCGAGTTTAAGGTTTGGCCAGAATTTCTTGAAAAATCCCATATTTAAGTCGTCCAGTCTAGGAGCTTTATTACTATATGAGGAAGCTATGGCGTTACATACCTATTTTCCAAGAAAGCACTCTCCAAATTTGAGTTCTAAGCAGTTGAGAGTCTAGAGAAGTTAAGATCAACTTTATCAACATCAGTCGTCGGCTTTTGGTTATAGGCTGCTTTGAAGAACTCCAAAACAGTAGATTTGATCTAACTGGGTTCTGAGATCAGCCTGTCATTAGCTTTTAAGAACTTGAGTGAATTCATTCTACCTCTGTTCGAAGCACCCTGGTGGAAGAATCTTGAATTCCTATCACCATCATTGATCCACTTCGCTTGAGACTTTTGAAACCAAATATGTTCCGCATTTTTGTACAAATCACACAACTCATTTTTTTCCTTCACTAAGGAATCCAATAAAATCGAGGTAGAACCTTGTTGAACTTCCAATTCCATATCATGGATGGACTTTTCTAGATTCGAAATTAAGCCCGACAGTTTAAGATGTTTATTATCTGACCAAACCTTGATGGCTGCCTTTGATCCCTTTAAGATTCTAACAATACCCCTTTTCCTTTTGCCCTTCTAAATCTCCTGAAGCTCCTATTCCATCATTTCTTGGAACCCTTCTTCCTTCATCGTATAACTGAACAACCTAAATAGTTTAGGACACTAGTTAACCCCACTGTTTTCTAGCAATATAGCATTATGATAGGATAATGATTTCGATAAAAGACACTAACTTATTTTAAGAAAAATGGACGTGAAACAAGGATCCAATAGAAAACGATTAAGCCTAACCATAGTGGAGAGTTCTATATTGTTGCACCACCTGAACGACCTCCTGACATAGGTAGATCAACTATATTTGCTTGACATGCAAAATCATTAAAAATTCTCGTAGTGAGAAAATTTTGGGACCTACCAACTTTTTCCTCCTGATCTAGATAGGCGTTAAAATCTCTTCCCAAGAAAAGATGACAATCCAATTGCTTAATGAACGAGAGTAATTCATTGACAAATCATTCATTCTCTGAAACTACAGATGACCCATACACATTAATAAAGCAACACTAACCCTTGGCATCCTTGAGTTTTCCCATAATAGCAATGAATCTTCTATGAATATATTGTGACTGATAATCGAACACACTCTTATCCCATAGACTTAACAACCCCCTGCAACGCCTTCTAAAAGAGAAAAAGCAATACCTTGCAATGCTTTCCCACCTAACCTGCTTAATAATAAAGGGTTAACTAAATCTAATTTTGTTTCCTGGAGAAAAACGAAAGATGGTTTCCTCCCAGCAATCAAACTTCTCATTGCTCTAACTTTCTACATCCTTCTCAATTCCTTGACATTCCATGATAAAATAGATAACTTTGACATAATAAGCACTTGAATTACCTATAGCAGATTGGAAGATTATCTCCCACCCCCTTAGCCCTATCTTATCCCAACTTAGCCACTTTGTTGACGAAGGCACTTTTTCCTCCCCAGAAGATGATGCCTGGCAAGTTGCTTACATTCTAGGTGACATTTTCCTCCTTCGAATCCTCATATCTTTGTGGGGAAACATAGGATGAGGTAATGCCCTAATCCAATACATTTGAATCCCTATTCCTTCTTGATCTAATGTATACTTTATCAAAGAACCTATTGTCAATTCTCCCAACTAAAGCATGTCTACCAAATTGGCGACTATTGTTTGGAGAGGAATACTCAAAGGGAGAAAGAGACCTAGTCTGGGATCGATTAAAAACACCATCTGAATAAGTGACTCTTCCAGAAGAACTCCTATAACAATTGGACTCATTTCCATCTCCTCTCGTTGAAATAAATTTGGGTCTTGACCTCCCACCCAGCCCGGATAAAGGGATCCCACCATTTAATGGACTGGAGCAAACCCTTTCAGGCCCAACTTCCAAATTTGAAGGAATGACAGGCCCAACATTAATGAGAGAATGGGAGAAGTTATCACCATTAACCGTACGGTCCACATTGTCATCTCCCATCACACCCTGATATATAAGGTCCATACAATCATTCGGTCCACCTCCTGAGTAAACCATCAATGAGTTATGCCTCGATCCATATGAAGAATTAAAACCAGAGCCATTCCTTAGGCGACCAACATTCTGATTCCCTTGCAACCATGTTTCCACCCTTTCTTCCCGACCTACATGCAGGACATCCACCTGAATGTTCTGATCAACATTATGATTACTTTCCGAGGAATTTTCCTCCGAGACGTCGGTTGACTCATCCTCTATATCATTCCTGAAATCATCTGAGAAACTTCCATCAACCATGTCAACCTTTATCTTTGTCTTATAAGACCTATCATTCATAGAGATGGTGATGGAATTGGGGATGTCAAAAGGACTCACAGCTTTTACAACCATTTTCACAGCACGAAGGTCTATCCTTTGAAGAGTCTCCTTTTGAATCTTCGCCAGCGACCCCCACCTCAGCCAAACTAGAAAAGAAAACTTCACTCCAATAGTTTAGAGGAACTCCTCAATGCCATAGGCACTTTCTCCTCCAGATATATAGGGGCCAAACAATCAAACCAAAACTTTAATTCTTCCGTTTTAATTTCCAAAGCTTCCCTTCTTTCTTCTTCAGACGAGAAGGTGATGACACACACATTTCTTGCATAACCCCAACTAGCCACCTTTGCGTTAAAACCATCATTAGATATGACCTTTTGGATGAACTCAATATCATACAAAGGTGTGAAGATACCTGTCAGGGATAACTTGATTCACTCCCTCTCCTCCAATGGTATGAAAACATTTAACGGACTCTTCTTACCACATGAGCCACTAATATTACGAAACAAAACACCCACTATCTTCATCCTCTTCCATACCAAAGAATCCTTATATGATATCACATCATAGAAATTGTTGAAAGTTGTCGTTCTGTCGTCTGAGCTCATGAGTGGTTCCCTTGGTGGCCTCTTTAACCCTTCCACTCCTTCACCGGTCTTGTTTTTATAGAAATATCCCTTATAGTATTTAGCCATCCCTACCGAGATCCTTTTCGTGTCGATCAGAGTATTATTAACCTTCTTAATGGCGTTAAACATATCATTCTGGCTTGCGAAATGGACAAAGGCGAAAATAACATCTCTATATCTAGGCCTCCTATTGACGAGAGGGATGAAAACTTTGGTAACCTTACCATGGTGATTGAAAAACTCCCATAGTGCACTCCTAGGGACTCGTCTACTTAGATTATCAATGAATGCAGTTCATTTTGCTCCAGTGGGGAGTGAACCGAACCTAGCACTCATTGTTACCAATAACATAAAGCTCAGATTAAAGATTCCTTCAGCTCCATTGAGGATTTTAATTTTCAAATTTTATCTTCAACTTTGAAGTTTCAAATTTCAATGATGCATCAATGCATAGGAGAATTTTTATGACTTACATTTTGGCAGCTTGTTTTCCCTTTCCAATTACAGCACCAAAGTATCTCCACATTAATTATAATAATCAAAAAAGCAAACAATAAGACATGAATAATTGACTACCAGCAAATAGAAATAATAAAAATATATCTACGCATCAACAAACAAAGGAAAACAAAATGAAGCTCTTAACCGATAGAAATGAACTTACATAGGAGATGTCGGATGGTTCGACCATATATAATTGAGGGCCATCTCTATCATAACCATCGAGAATTACCCCACAGTCAAAGGGCCTGAGCCATCAGTAAAATGTGCATAAATGCACATAACTATCGACACGTTCAACAAGTTTTGACACGAATGGGTTCACCATACACTTCACAACCACCAACAAATAAAAACTTATAATTAGATGGTCATATAATAGCTATAGTTAAAGTTGAATTCCGGCAATTGAAACTGAACAAAAGAAGAAGAAGAAAGAGTAAAAAACCTTTGGTAATTAGTAGCTTCAGATTTAGCACGGGCCACAATTTTTCAGAAAATGTGGGTAAAAATGCTATGAATTACAAAGTTAAAGATGAAAATTAAAGGGGAGGAACAATGAATACCATGCTGGAATGACGATGAATGGAGTGGATTCTTCGATTCGAACCAGGTAGCATCATCTTTGATGCTATCAGCTTCTCAACTCCCTAAAAATAACAATACTCATTATAATTTACGCTCAAATATTTTATCCAACTTTATTTTCAAAGCAAGATATTAAGGGGGAAGAAAGACATTATCATGACCATCCCATCTTTGCATTTTTATCCCGATCGAAGTTCTGCAAAAAGAAAACTTGTTTTATGAAAACAAAATCATATTTGTGATACCGTAAAATTACATAGAAGAAGAAGAGGAAGAATGGCAGACCCGCTGTTATCGATGACTTTGGCAGCGTATTCAATTTAGAAAACGCGGCCGTCGGAGTAGTAAGCCCTTATAATGAAGTTAAAAAAAATAAGAGGATAATACATGATACATAAGAAATATGAAACAAATAAGGGGAAGCAAGACAAGAAGCCAAGAACTAACCAGAATAATGAACAATTGAGAGCTTAGTTGAACTCGTTCACAGTAAATTATATGAGCAGAAGAAGAAATTACAGAAAATTTGTTTTTTTAACCTAACTTTTGCTAGATGGCTAGTGAGATTCAAAGAGTGAGAGAGGTGATTGGTGAGGAAAGTAGGGGTGTTAAAAAAATCAAAACCGTTAATATATTTAATAGTTTAATTAATCGAATCATTAATATTAAATGATTTTAGTTAATTGAACCGTTAAAATTAATGATTAACGGTTAAGATTATGATTACAAGTTTTGATAAACGGTTAACGAATGGTTAACCGTTAAAAATTAAATTTATAATTATATATATCTAATTTATTAGATTTTTACACAAATAACTTAATATATTTATCTATTATTTATAATTTATATATATATTTAATAAAATTTGTATACAAATAATTTAATATATATATATATATATATTTATCATTTTTATTTTTTATTTCTTTGAAAATATAAAAATATTCTTACACTAATATAATTATGTGTGTGTGTATATATATATATATATATATATATATATATATATATTTTTATCATTTTTATTTTTTATTTCTTTGAAAATATAAAAATATTCTTACACCAATATAATTATGTGTTTATTATTAGGTACAAAGATATTTGGAGATGTACATAATTATTGATGTAAGTATGCGTAAGTGCTGCATTTTTTATTTTATTCACTTAAATTTGTGTAAGTACGTGTTAAGTTATATATTTTTATAGTATGAATTATGAAAAAAAATTGACAAATAATTGTAACACAGTTAACCTGTAACCGAACTTTAGTAATGGTTAACCGTTAGCGTTTAACCGGTTTTTAAAGGTTAGGTTACGGTTAGAAAAATCGCATAATCGTTATAACGGTTAACCGTCCGTTTAGGCTAAACGACATAGTTAACCATCCATGAATAATACTAGAGGAAAGTTAGTGATTTAAAACTGTGTAATAATCGAGATGAGAGAATTACGACATTTGTAAAAACAAATGCCACTAAGGTATTGTAAAATTGTGGCATTTGCCCTAAAATGCCACTATATTTGATTCCTATTACGGTGTTTGTTAGACAAATGCCACTATATATGAATTTTATTACGATGTTTTACAAAAAATGTCATTGCATATTAGTCTATCGTGACATTTTTTTTACTAAAAATGCCACTAAAAGTTCATGTATATTACGACACTTTCCCATAAACCCCCAAGAAATTTGTCATTTATGGCGTTCTTTAGATAAATGTTGCGAAAGAAAAAAATTAACGATATTTTCTCTAAAAAGCTGCTAAAAACCTATTTTGTTGTAGTATTTTCTTACTTCTTAAAGAGGAAGGAGGAGATGAGGAGGAAGGAAGAAAACAAGGGTTAGTGGGGAAAAAGATAAGGCTTCATAGGTGATATCACCAAACATGAATGGGATTCAACCTTTGTTTCAAAATATGGGTATTCCCCCTATTAATCCTTCCTCCTTTGCTCTAAGTTTAAAAATGTCCTCTTTAATGTAGGTTGGGCTCAATTCAAGTCCAAACCAAACCCAAATGGACAAGCCTTCTCACAATCTAAGGAATTTTTTTCCTAAGGCCCTCTCGGGATAGCCCAAGAGCCCAAAACCCTAGCCCGGAATTTAGGGCGATACAAAAAGAATCTGCACTCGTTCTGTCCTCCTATAAGAGAATATCAGCTCATTCTTACTCTTCCATAACCCCAAGATTGTAGCCATAAACACTATACCCCATTCGAGCCCATCCTCCGTATCTCTACATATCCGACTATTAACCTTCATCCAGCTTTCAAACTCCCTTGTCTCGAACTGATTATCAAGGTGGTAAGCTTTCAGATCCTTCCATATTTGCTTTTCTAGAGTGCACTAGCGTAGAACATGCTCAATTATCTCAACTGCTTCACCACATATCGTGCAACTTGTCACTCCCGTCATCTTCTTCTTCGCCCGGTTCTCATTTGTATTAAGTTTGTAAAGCATACATAGCCATGCAAAAAATCTGATCCTTTCGATGGTTTTGAACTTCCAAACCCAATCGGTCATTATTGAACTTTGATCGATCATCTCTATATTGATTACTTCTTTATAAGTTGATGTGATGGTGAACTTACCATCATTAGAGAACCCCCACTGAACCCGATCGTGGTTCTGTCCCTGCATCGTGGTCAGGATCGGGACGTCGTAAGTATAATTTTTTTATCATCCGAGATCATGTTGTGGATATCTCGGAGATTCCAAGTTTTCTCATCAGTTATAATAAATTGAGCCACCTTCTCATTAATGTTAGTCTCCATAGCCTGATATGTATGAATTAACGGGGCCTCCCCCACCTATCAATCCTGCCAGAAACGAATTTGATTATCTGATCGAAGTTGCCATTTACAACCACTCTTGATTAGCTCACGTGTGTTAAGCAGACCCTTCCAAGTGGTAGAATATTGTCACGCGTATGCATGTCAAGGAAACTCGAGTGCTTCAAGTATTTCTCCCTGTAGATTCTGGACCATATCTTGCCTTTGGTACAGTTTCCAGCTGTTCTTAGTTAAAAGGGCCATATTCATCCATCTTGTTTTATGTAAACCAAGCCCATCCTGAGATTTTGGTTTGCAGACTTCTCAACTCACAAGGCGTATTTGATATCTCCTCCCCAAAGAAAGTTCCGGTTAATGCTATCTATTTTGTTACAAACATCCATCGATATCGACGCTGATTGCATGATATGGATAGGGATCGCGGCTGACACAACCTGGATCAAAGTTTTCCTCCCCACCGTCGAGAGGATCCATCCTTTCATCCCCCAACTTCCACATAATCTTCTCAATTAACAGAGCGTGCGTTTCTACATTAACCCTTTAATGGATTATTGGGACTCCGAGATATGTTCCCAAATTATCCGTAAGGGGAATACCACAAATCCCACTTAACTGCTATTTCATTACTAAATAACTTTCATTTTTTGTAAATCTTTCATACATTAAATCATTTGTTTATCTAAGTCTTTCCTTTTTTTTTTGTACATAATAACTCAAATTGAAATCTATTTAAATAATATCAAAATGTTTACTAGTTGAATTTAAATTTTTTTAATAGATGAGTAAACTCATTTAATCTGTATATAATTTAAATATAAACTTATATTTTAAGTATATTATTATTTTAAATAAAAATATATAATTTGAGCGGATCAGATGAAGTTTAAAATTTAAAAAAGAGTAAAATTTCGATCCATTAACAATTCTAATTAAATAATATTTTAAAGAAATACATTTTAAAAGTTATTATATTCAGATTTAAGTATATTTTCTTTTTAAAAGATCGAGTTAGAATCCGATTTGATTCCATCCATGAACGGATATGGTTGGCATTTATTTACATTCCTATAAAAAAGAAAAGATGAAGAAAAGAGCAGAACAGAAAGCAAAGAATTATTGTTTTTGTTTGATGAATTTGGGCAGAAGCTTATTATAGTTATAGAGAAACAAAAAATGTAAAAAATTTAAGGCTTTCCTTTGTTTGGCACACCCAAACAAATTCACAACAGTTGGATTCAACGGTCAGTCCTTTTCTCGGGGGGAAAAAAGAGAACTTTCCATCTTCTTTCCTTTCTTTTTCTCCTTCCCTCGTCCTCCTCTTCCTCACCATCATCATCCATCTCAATTCCCCCAAGGTATATTTTTTTTTAATAATAATTTTCTCTTGTTTTTATCATCATGAACAATATGTTGCATTGTATTTGAAAGTTCATTTTAATTTTGGGTTTTGGATTATAAAGCTTGAAAAGGTGTTGTTTTGGATGTTTCAGTGGATCTGATTATTGGGTTTTCTTTCAAAATTCATGTGGTTTTCATTTTTTTTTTTGTTTATTTACATTAATGGGGTAGGTTTAGGTCTTTGGTTTTAATTCGATTGAAGTGCTGTCATTGCTGGTTGATGATCCCAAGCATTATACTGCACATGAGAATTGATTGCAGTTTGCTACTTGATTCAATTCTAAACTGTCTCCATTGTCCTTTTTAATTATTGGTTATCAATAATTTCACATTTTCTTTTTCTTTTTGAACCCTCTCAAGGATTTATTTCACTTAATTGTTATTGCCTATGAAGGTTTGAATTTGATATGGTTGCAAATTCTTGCATTGTTAGAATGGGTTTTGTTTGTATCTTTATTTGTTTCAATGAATCCATGAGACCGTCAGATGATCGTGTTCGAGTATATGGATTTGTGGGTGTGTTTTCAATTTTAGTTCTTATACATTTTATAGCTTAGAATGTTTTCTTAGCTCTGAAATTTTTCTTTTTCTTTTTTTCAAGTGGGGCTATTGCTGACTTGATTGATTGTATCTTTATCATGTAACCGAAGCTTGCCGCATTGAATTGGGGATGGGATACACAGCTTTGTATTGCAAGGTTAAGAACTACTTTATGCATCGATTTTAGCCTTTTTGGTATTCATCGAGTTATGAACCTTGTGGTATCCTAGAGAAATTGTTGGGGGAAATGGCTGTGGAAGAAACTTCACACGTACAGAGGATCTTGGAGGGGTTTGCAACCGTCCTCAAGTCCGCTGCTTGTGAATGTTTTCTGATTCTTCTTCTGTTTGTTGATGCTGCCTTAGCTTACACGCTTACAAGATTTGCGCATTATTGTGGATTGCAATCGCCTTGCATTGTATGCTCTCGGCTTGATCATGTTTTCAGAAATGAAGAACCCGGATATTACTGGAATCTATTTTGCAGCAGGCATATATCAGAGATTTCATCGTTGATTTCCTGCAACATTCATGGGAAGCTGGTTGATGGTCATAGTGTGTGCGAGAATTGTCTCTCATCACACATTAATTTGCCATGTCGCTTGAAGTGTCAAACTGGTGCAACGAAGATAGATGATAAGTCTTCTACACCAGCGGAGACTCGTATCGGAAAAACTGGATTTGATCCTTCGTCTCATGTTGGATTCACTGAGCTGAAGATCACTTCTGAATCGGAGCATGAGATTCCATCTTCCGATGATGAGGTTTGCAATTGTATGGTTCGTGATATGGACGAGAGTAAAAAAATATCTCTGGTTCACTCTGCTCTGGAAACTCCATCTAAAAGAATGTACAACAATTTGGATAAAAGAAAACAGCCTGATGCTAATGAGAAATATGGTTTTAGATGTTTACATCCCGGTGTCCTCGTTGACAATGATGTTTGTGACAATAAATATCAGCTGGCTGAACAGAAATCCAATCGTTCGGTTTTGCCGGGGCTTATTTCTCTAGATGGTATTCCTGCATCATCCTGCCTTGAGAAAGTTCCAAGTTGCAGTGCTTCGTTTCTGTCTAATCTTATTTCTCTAGCCGATAACCCCACTTCAGTTGATGTTACAGAAAATCCTCATGAAACATCATCGGGCAAGTGTAAGTTATCTCCCTTTCTCTACGTGTATATGTGTTTGTATGTGTTGGCCTTATCTTATATGGCTTAATATCTGAAATTTTGTAGTGGCAGATGTTACAGAAGCAAGTAAAAATGAAAGTATTTCTATCAACAAGAATGACAAAACCTTGAAGTCGATAAGCACATCATCTCAAGCTGGTTTTGGAACTGATCGAGTTGTAGATGATATTGTTGTGGCAACGGATGAGGATCCAAGTGATTTGCATACATCACCTGCCTTTGGTGAAGAAAAAGGTGCACCTGTCTTTGTTACTGAAGAACCTATGCTGACATATAATAATGGAGTTAACAAAGATCGGTCGTTGCCGGTTCAGAATTCTTCTGGAGAAGGGATTCAATTATCATTTAGCAATGTAGGTCCTGAGTTGCAAGGTGATGGTGATGACTTTGATGACATGCCTAACGAATCAAATCCTTATGGGGTTCAGAGTTTTCATAACTACTTTCAGGAAAGAAGTGAATTTGGTAGCCTTGGAGTTAACGAAGAACGGTCATTGCCGACTCAGAATTCTTCTGGAGAAGGAATTCATTCACAAGGTGATTGTGACAACAATGACTTTGAGACAACTGATGAATCCAATCCTCATGGGGTTCAGAGTTTTGGTAACTTCTTTACGCAACAAAGTGACTTTGGCAGCCTTGAATCTTTGAATGAAAGCACTTTCAATGAAATTGAAGGTGAAGATTCAGTTGATAAGCTGAAGCGGCAAAATGAGCATTATCGGAAGTTCGTGAAAGACTTATTAAAGGAATTGGAGGAGGAAAGAAATGCCTCTGCTATAGCTGCCAATCAGGCCATGGCTATGATTACAAGGTTGCAGGAGGAAAAGTCGGCACTCCAGATGGAGACCTTGCATTACCTAAGGATGATGGATGAGCAAGCGGATCACGATGGAGATGCTCTGGATAAAGCTAATGATCTTCTGGCAGAAAAGGAGAAAGAACTACAAGACCTGGAAGCAGAGCTTGAATTTTACCGATTAAACTTCTCAGAAGAAGTACTGAAGGAGACTTTACACGAGGCAAGCATCAACGCAAACAATGGATATTCTTCTACGGAGAATCCAATAGCCAAATCTGCATGGTCACAATTTGAAAATGAAAAGTTGTACATTTATGAGTGTCTGCGAGATTTGGGGGAGAAAGTTACCAGGTTTGCTCATCACGGGACTTACCCACACATTTCCGATGGGGAATACTTTGATGAAGCAGAAAACAAAGACCAACATCAGCAAGAGTTTGTTGATGAAAAGGATAAACACGCAAATCTTGAAGTGGAAGGTAATTATATACCAGTGCAGAAAGCTTCATCAGCGTCGAATGGAAGTGTTCCTTTCGAAGAACAGTCCAGTACTTCAATAAGCAAAGATCAAGTGGTTAGTAAAGGAAACAGTGATTCGGTTTCCAATGGACAGAAGGGTTCCGAGGATTATAATGAAACTGGTTTGGCCAGTCTTGAAAATGAAATTTCCGACCTTAATCGAAGGTTGGAAGCACTAGTGGCTGACTCTAAATTTCTTGAGGACTGTCTAAAATCTCTTCAAAATGGAAATGAGGGGCTGCTTTTTATTCAAGCAATATTTCAAGAGTTGAGAGAGCTGAGGATACTTGGGTTAAGGAATAGGAGCATGTCAGTTTCATGAGCTTTATCTGTATCATTACATGGTAAGCGTGCTAAAGATATAGGTTCGATTTGAATTGATTATCTTTACTTGACACATTAACATATTAATGTCTGTCCGAAGAAAATAGTCTCTTCTTGGTAGAGATTAGGGGTGTAAACGAGCCGAGTCGAGCTCGAGTATTGCTGAGCTCGACTCGACTCGAAAACTCTGAAATTGAGCTCGATTCGACTTGAAAACTCGCAAGCTTAAAATTTTCAAGCTCGACTCGAACTCCAAATCCTAAACTGAAGCTCGTGAGCAGCTCGAAAAGGCTCGAAATGAAAAAAAAAATCTTAAACTTAACTCGATTGAAGCCTCAAACTCAAACTTGAACCTGAACCTTAAATACATGAAAATCTTATTTTATTTAAAAAAAAAATCAATACATAAATATTAATATTATTAATAATTTATTTTTAAAAAAAATAAAATCTTAATATATTATATTTTCGAGCTGCTCACGAGCTTTTCGAGTTAAATATCAAGTAGCTCGTTTCGGCTCGTTAAGAACTCGAGTCGAGTCCATTCGATCCGAGTATTTATCGAGTCTTGATCGAGTCGATCTCGAGTAGCTCGCGATCTGTCTCGTCTCATTTACAGCCCTAGTGGAGATCCTTCGCATCTGTTATAAATTTGTTGCATGCCTTGACCGACTCGTGGTGGAAATCGCTATTATGCCTCTCGATGATTAACAATGCCTCGTGTTTGTTTATAGTTTCATGTAAATTGCTACCACCTCAAGCTGATCATTTATTTTTGGTTTTTTATGGCTGCATTTGAGATATAACTGTGACTGTACTTGCATCCGTTCTAAAATTCGTAAAAAAGTTTGGTTTTGCATTACCATGTTTGAATGTGCTTAAGATGTACATGATATTTGCCAATTTGTTGGAGATTCTGCAAGAGATTATGTAACATAACTGAATTTCGAGCATGGACCAACGCAACTCCATTACCATGCTGTTGAACTCCATAATCTCAATTTAATGCTATGATTTTCCGACTCTTAATTTTTCTTGCATTACCCATGATCGATATCCACGTTGATATGTGGATACGGGGCTTCAAGTATTCTAAAGCTTAGAAAAATCGAACATACTAGTATCCGACACACTTGAATCCGAGTAATAGACTAAATGCCTTGCTCTATTTAGTTTATCAAAATTTCTTGTATGAGATCCTAAAGCTCTAGACTCATGATTGACTGAATGTGACCTTTATATTTCAGATGCATCCGATTGAGGGCAAAGAGGCCAGCATGAAGTTTGATTCAAAAGTTGCAGCCTTGCCGGTTCTCAGCTTACCACGGAATTGTGAATTACCTGGATCAGGGATCAGGTTTTACGCCCTAACCACCTATGTTATACCAACTCTTTATTTCTTTTAAAGTATCCATATTCGATACTCGTGTGACACACATATTCGAGTATGGGTGTGGGGAAAAAAAGAAACTTTGGAAAAGTGAGTACACTCGTGTTGGATATATACTCGTATCTTTCAGCTACTCTCGAGTCGGTGGGAGTAAAACTGTAAAATTATAATTTTTATTCCTTTGGCAAGGGTTACATTTGTGGTATTTTTCTAAGCATTGTGTGACTAGGTTTTAAAGTGTGGCTTTTTAGCCTTTTTTTTTTAGATTTGTTCACACTTCATAGTAAGCCGATCCTACTTCAATTGTAAATTAAGAACATCTCAATATACATAGTTTATTATTTTTAGTCTTATTTTTCTTTTGATTCTTATTCTTGTTTTAAGTATTTGTATTCAGCATTCATGTTTGATTATATTCAGACATAATGGACTCTCATGAAAAAGCTTAGAACATTCACATTCGAGTTTTAGTAACTTAGAAGATAACCATAGGCCAGCATGGTCTAGCTCGAAACTAGATCCATGATCAATCATGTAGGGTTTAGTTCTAGAGTTTGCGAGTAAATTTTGTTGAGCGTTTAGTTTTTCTTTCTGCGAGCAATTTAGAGTGTAGGTTCTCAATACCGATAGGCCGTTCGGGAGGGCCTCTCACTGTATGGGATAAGAATACCTTACAAGTTTCCTCTCATCAAGTTCTCCCTCAAATTGCAGCGATTCAAGGTAAGTGGACGAACGTGGATGGGGCGGTGATGGTTAATGTCTATGCCCTGAATAATGAATCCAATCATTGTCGGTTGTGGGAGGCATAAGTTAGAGAAACGAGTGTGCGAAGATGGTAGCCGGCTGGGGGGGGGGTGTCAATAGATTCATTGATGCTTTATCGAGTGAAGTTTTCGCCAAGGCATTTCTTACCAGATGATGATGTTGGTTTCCACGAGGGTGATATATGTTCTTATTAGGGATGTTTATGGGAGGATGGATGTAGGGATGTTCCTACGTAGGTCTCCCATAGACTCATTTTACGACCCACTTCATATATCAACGGCCAACTTCATATGATATATCGACAAGTATCAGTTAAATAAATATAAATAAATCTTTTATAAAATTATTAAACACTTATCATTTGGATTCTCCGCGCATATGTTACATTATTCCAGTTATTATCATTAATAAATAAAAAGTTATTGCGATGTTTTAATTGACAAATTTAAATATAACTTTAACCCCAGTTTAAAAAATTTAAAAGTAAAATAAAATAGTTATATAATATTCAAATACACATTAGATCACACTCACGTCTATCCTATCATTCATAAGGTGTCTACTTTTTATACTCTATTTTATCACTCGTAAAATCTGTATCATCTCTATTCAATTGGAAACGGCATGGGAGGGGTCTGTAAAATCCGTCTCACACATCCTTGTCCTATATATAGAGAGAGCAGTGGATCCACCCTTAGTCAAGGGTTATTAAGTGTTTATTCTAAAATTCAAATTTTCTTCGATTAGTTATTTATTTTATTAATTGTATCTACCATCAAACTTTATTTGTGCTCACACATAAGATAAATTTTGTGTTATTAATATATATGTGTCCACCTTAAAAAAATATTTCTATATCCTTCAAAAAATATATATATGAGTTAATATCTAATTACATAGTATAAAATTAAAAAGTTATAAATCTTTTTAAAATTGAGACTAAATAAAAAAAGGAAAGATATTCATTGAAAAAAAGGACTTAAATGCACCATTACTCCTAAAGTATATCATTTATATCAAATTATCTCTTAAAATATTTTTTTTTATCTTATAAAGTTTAAAACATTACCCCATTTACAACTTCGTTAATAAAAAAGTCAATGTCCAATCAAAATATGCCACATCACCTTTTAATTTTAATTTTTTATTTAAATAAATAAAAATCATTTAAAAAAATAAGATATATAATTATTATAATATGCCAAAACTACCTCTTTCCCCTTCCTTTCCCTTCCCCTTCCCTTCCCTCCCCCCCTCCACCGTCATCACCACTATCCCTTCCCTCAACCCAAACCCCAATACCCCTCTAAATTAACCAAGACCCATCGACAATAATAGCTTTCATCATATGTTTGCAGACTGATCTCCTCTTGCTCAAATACCATCCCAAATTAAATATAAAAAAAGAACTATCAGACTAATTTCCTCTTTCAACACCACCCAATTCTCACTGTAACCAACAAAAAATTTGTAAATTTCAGACAATCCCATTACTCCCCATTGTATACAATGCAAAGCTTAGAGTCTTAATCCCCAAATGAAACCTTCTAAAATTTAGTCTCCAATGTCCAACAATTCAGTAAACTAATGCCTCAAATGTGAAAGAACCAAATTGAAAACTAAAACCCCATAATGTCTACAACTTCAAAGCTTTCAAATTTAATTGAATAATTAAAAACTTAATCACTAAGAAAGTTCAAGTTTACCCAAATACACTAAAAGATTTGCAAACAAAAGTTTTCAAATATTTAAATCATCACAATTTCTAAACCTTCAAGCTGTGAGAAAAGAAAGCAAGAAACACACGGAAAACAAACTAAAATGGAAAAAACCTAGAACTACAAAATCCTCAAGCAACGTCTCATTAGATCCAGAACCACGAAAAGACCAAAATTAATAATCAGAATAAACAATGATATTCGATTCAGCTTGAACTTGAGAGTGAGTAAACACAGTTGTTATGTTGAAGTAGCCCTGGCATTTGACATCCACCAAGAAAGAATTGGGGTACTGAACGAGACGCTCGAGCTTGTGTTTCTTCTTCTCAGGCTCCGTTGGAGGATTCAACAAATCGACATCGTTTTGGAGAACCATCTTGGCTTGGCCGCTAGATGTTTCAAGAGAAACCTCAAAAACCCTCGAAAGCTTAGTAGGCAGGCGCCAGAGGAGAGTGAAGAAGGAAAAAGAGGGATGTTAGGGAAAGGGAGGGTTTGATTGGTGGAGGGGGAAATAGGGGTATTATTTCTTTTATTTTTAATTAAATTTTATTTATTTAGATAAAAAAAATAAAAATTAAGGACTGACGTGGCGTGTTCTATTGATTAATGAGATTTTTCTAGATTCTTCAATTCAACTTGTAAAATGAAACAAAAGGTAGCATTATGATGAAGTTGAAAAAGATACGAGTTAGAACAATCAAATCAGAGCACATCTAATTTTAAAATTCTGCAAAATCTTTTGGTTTGAATGTGTTTTGACACATCTATTGTTCAACCAAGTTACGTACGCTGGTTCATGCACCTGTCCCTTTTATTTCAAAGAAAAAACTTTCCTTCACTTTTTTTATTTAAGGGTCCAAATTAATTATTACTCAATCAACAACTTAAGTTTTAAATAGTTAATATTTTTATCTTTATGATTCTTTCTTTAATCTTATTTATCAATATAAAATAACTAGGCAAAGGTAGGATTTATGTGATGAGATAAGACATAAGATTAAAAATTTTGAAAGCTAAAAATAAGTTTTTCATTATCATGGCTTAAATTTAATTTTTTAATTCATGAGAGGGGTCAAAATGAAAAGTTTCATTTAAGAAAGGAGTAAAAGAGATTAAAATAATTATTAGTATTTGATACCCTGCGATCCTTTTTAATATATAGAAAAAAATGAACCCTAAACTTGTTAAATAGTAATTTCTTAGAATAACTGTATTTATTATTGTAAAACTTTTTACTGAGTTAATTTTACGAGTTAATTAGAGATTACTAATTTTACATTCTCTTTAAAAATATATCTATTATTATTGTTGATAGAAGTAAGTTGAGTTCATCAATCGTGAGGGGTTTACTCCTTTTGATTTGAGTAGAAAATTGTGACTAATAAGAAGACTATTGTTGATTGGTATCAAGGGAGAGAAGAGAATAGGTCATGATAAGGAATAGGATGGTCGAGGACGACTGTTCGTTGGTGAGTTTGTAAAGTGTGGGTCATGAAGAAGATGAAGAAAATGATTTTGAGGCGGTGAATGGTTTAACCTTGTTCCAATCTTAGTTAACGGTATTTATAGTGACAATTAGTGTGTTTTAGTTATAGGGCCACCATGACTATTTGTAGGGCGGTAGGCCATGTAGATATGGTATTCATACTTTAGATTTTCTTTTAACACATCACGTGAGCTTCTCAAATAGATTGTCTGTGTGTTGTACTTGACCAGAAGTTTGTGTTTAGAGGATGTAGGCTAGTTGAAGATTTTGGTGGATGGAGAGGTTTCCAAAGACCATCTCCATAGGTATAACAAGTTGTCCCCATTGGTCGAGGGAAATACCATAAAGTGGTTTGACTCGATACTTATGGTTGGGATATAGAAACTTTTTGCTGGGTGTTTTTTGGTTGAGGGAGAGATGAGTTGCATTGACTATGTACAGTTCACCTATTTTGATTTGAGTGAAAAGTCATAGTCGGTGAGAGACAACCATTGACTGATATCTAAGTGGAAAAAAATGCATAATGACAAGGAAGAGGGTGATCGAGTATGGTGGTCCACCAATGGGTTTGTAGAGGAGAAAGTTGGTCATGAAGAAGATGATATTGAGGTGGTGAAGGGTCCAACATTATTCTAGTCTCAATCAGGGATATTTATAATGGCTTTTAATGTGTGCCAATCGTAGGATCATCATGACTATTTGTAAGTCAACATGTTAGGTAGAGTTGATAGTCAGACTTTGAATTTTGTTCTAACACATTACGTGAGCATGTGAGAGGGCTTGCCTGTTCGTTATAGTTGACCAGAAGCTTTTGTTCAAAAGATGTATGGTAGTTAAAGATTATGGTGGATAGAGAGGTTTTCAAAGACCACCTTAGAGGTACAACATCTATAAAATCTCTCGACTGAATTGATGTATGAATTAACGAGATATTAACTTAATCGAAAAATTATAGATAAATATATATTTTAAAGTTATAATTAATATTATTATAAAGATACTTTAATATTTTTATATAATCATAAAATAAACAACTATAAACTATCACTTAAAAATTAACACAACAATAGATTTCAATATAAAATCTTTTATCATTTTATATATGATAATTAATTAAATTGTTTTTATAATTATATAATAAATCTTTTTATCACGTCAAGAATATAGGGCGTTATTTTGTTGAGTTTGAAATGCCTCAAATTCTGTGTTAGTAGTTTCGGGCTAATCCGAGAGGATTTTGGATAAACCCATTAATCTTGTAGGAAGCATTGGACCAAGCTTGAGTTGGGCCTAAATTGAGAGAAAATGATAATTTTGAATTAGGGCCAAAGTTATGGGGACCAAAGAGGTGATTTACCCATTTTATTTTGCAA